AGATAGAATTGGCCTATATGTATAATTACTTCTTATTTGGGGGTTCAATCTATGTCCATGCTAATTAATGGGCATATTTTCTCATGAGAGTGTATCTGATGGCACTCTAATTGAAAAAGCTCATATTCTGTTCTGTGAAAACCTTGAACCTCTCAGGATATCTCTGTGTTTGCATATGGGTAATGGGGGCTTGAAGGAGTTTCCATGGACTCTACAACCGTAGACCTATAAACAGTGCAATCCTATGCATCCGAGGAAGATTTTTGTCAGGTTGGATGAGTGAAATCAATGACAGAGACTCGGTTTGCTATGTTTAATTGCCACTGGACTCTGTAAATGTAAATTACTGAACATGTTTCCTATTTAATAGATTTACAATCACACCGTTAAATAGCCAACTACGCTGATAGCACGTGCATTGAACGAGCATCCAACTAGTTTTCTTTAAAAATAGAGAGTTGAAGCTCTAAAAGAAATACACTACTCCATATACGACTATTGCACTGGGAGCGTTGTACCTTTTTGCTAAACCGTTGTACTATATGTTCTAAGAATAGAAAAATATTGACGGCTAGATTTGAAAGAGCTGAGACTGGAATCCACCAAAGCTTACGCTTTTGTCTTTATCTCTTTTGTTGAATCTTGTTAGTTGTTATGCGAAAGTAAAGCTTATCTGAACGACGAAAGACCCACCCCACCCTGCGCACTCACATTTTACACGAGTGTAGAATTTTTATAGTATGATTAAATTATGTAATGGAATAAGCACAAGAAGATTCAAGTCAGCCGAATCAAATCTCTGTATTCTGTAAGTACCGATTTTTAATATTCCCTTTTTTGTTTCTTGAATTAGTATGCGGGTTTACACGATCAAGTACTTGTAACTTGAATTGATTGAAGAATGAGCTAAAGATTGCATTTTGAGATATGTATTCTTGCTGAATTTTGTAGGGAGTCGGTTAAATTAAGATTTGATTTGATATAATTTCTTGTTGCGAAAGGTTTTTCCGTCTTTGGAAACAAAGAAGAAATTGGGAAATTCCCGGGGTTGCCTTTTTTACTTATCTTGATTTAATTTAGGAATGAAATCAAACACTCGTTTTTATTTTTATTTTTATTTTTGTGGAACTTTATAAAGAAACTTATTTATATAATCAAATTTATGCAAGAAGATGGTATGCTCTCAATTTGAGTATTTGACTAAAGGTGAAGTCAAGGGGATAATTTAATTTTAGTTAATCTGCATTAGACTCTTGGTATTTGAATTGTTTCCTGCTTAAATTTGATTTTTTTTTATCAAAAATCTGAATTCTACGGCCTGGATTCTGCACCCCATAAATGCAGTGGAAATCTGATCTTTTGCAAGATGGAAAAGATCTGATGGATAATATTACAAAACAAATGGGGAGTATCAGTATACTAATTATTGCTTTTGGCTTTACAGTGTTTGATTAAAGTGCAAATAAGCTCATTGCTGGATGCACTATCTATGTTCAAGTAAGATATTATTAAACCTGTATTTACTTGAAGCATCTAGTACTTTTTTCTCTCATTTGATTTTGAAGCAAGACCGTATTATTTGGAAATGAGGATATTTGATATTCCAATGATGTATCTCTCATCGATAACAAGAAACAAACGTCTAATGTTGCTCTCAATTTTTCAATTATGACTTCTGTTGTATGTAGATTTCTTTTCGAAGAAAAGGATTTTCGTCGGATGTATAGGTAATAAAACAAGCCACATTTTAAACCTATAATCTTTCGAGGGAATTTTGATAAATGGAAATATTGTTTACTTGACAGGGAAGATTTAGAACTGAGAAATTATTGTCTACCTCACTGAAAATAACAGCAAGAGGTCACATTGAATTTCAGTTCTGTAAAGAAAATAGTTTCATAGCAGTTGTTTAGTCCGTCATTCCTTTTGTTGTGACTCTAAGATGATCCAATGCTTGACACAGAAAAGGGTCCTTTTGTCGACATTAAAGGTATTTTGTTCAACTCTTCTAGCTGACAGTAGCAGGACAAGAATCAGGATAAGAGAAACATGGATCAATACTGCCAGTGATCTAGTTAATAAACGCTAAAACAATTATAAGAGAAGAAATGAGAATATACACATAGAAATGGAGGTGGCATCGATTGAGGATAAATTTAGGAAATGAACGACTCAGAAGGTTAAGTCATGTTTTGATCCTCTGCAACTTCTAAACCATGCCAAAGAAAACTTTTGCTGTGAACAAAGTTGTTGAAGCTTGGTAAGTCAGCAATTGATCTAGATAAGGTTAAGTTCGAGTGGCTTGGTTTCACTTTTGTATGTACTTGATTGCAAGTGTAACAGCCAAAGTTGAACCTATGTCAATAGACTAATAAAAGGTCTATCCGTGTCGAGTCGAGTTGTAAACTGATCTCAAGAGTTCTCAAATTAAACCCTTGGTAGTTGAAGAAGTCTTCTTCATTGTACGGGTCTAGCTGACATGTTCTTTCCAAAAACATCTAAGGGTCCGTTTGATTGTAAGGGTGAAAAATTGGTGGAATGAAAATGTTTTATAGGGAAAAATTTTTCCTAAAAAATGTTTTATTGGGAATTGTAATTAAGTGTGTTTGATTGATATAGTTTTCCACCTGGAAAATTTTTAAAAGTTTGGATCTTTTTGT